CTCTCCCCGAGCACAGCCTGAGCTTCTCAGGCTGAGGAGGATTTTTTGACTTTTGGAACAATCTCTAAATCTTCTTTTTGTCCCTTTCTCACTGCCCCAGCCTGTCACAGCTCAGAGCTCTCCTGTTTCCCTGTCCTGCAGAGGACCCTGTGAGTGTCCAGGCTCTGCAGTTGTTTCCTGCCCCAGGAAGGTCAGAGGAATCTGCTTGGTGCAAAAAAAATGCTGAAATCAGTGAGATCTGCTCTGTTTCGTGCATGTGCCTCCACCCATGCGAGCTCTCAACCCTTCCCATCCCATTCCTGAAACCAACATCAGGATTTTCCTGCTGGGCTCACATCAGGGTGTCCCTGGCTCCAGGATCAGCCCAAAATCCCCATGGAGAGGTGGAAGGGGCTGGTGCTGGGCTTGGCCCGAGGTGCTGAGGAGCTCAGGAGGAGCCAGGGATGGAAGGGGAGTGGAGGAAACAGAGAATTTCCACCTGGGAATGAGACGTGGCAGTGCCCCAGCTGAGGGAAGAGGGAGCTGTGCCTTGGGAGCAAAACCTGAGGGAAGGGAGGAGTGCAGCAGCAGAGGAGAATTTTGGTGCCAAGTTCCCTTGGCCTCCACGTGAGGCTTGAGTGGTCTGAAAATCGTGTGTGGTGCTGTCCTGCACCAGGGACAGGGACAGGGGGACTCCTGTCCCCCCTGGCTGGGTCCTGAGCAATATCCCACTGAGCCTGAGCCATGGAAACCCAGCCAGGAGGAGCCTCTTGTCTCTGCTGCCCCAACTATGCAGCTGGAAGGAAAGGGCAAAACAATTCCCCAGCAATTCCTCAATAATTCCCCAATAATTCCCCAACAATTCTCCAGCAATTCCTCAATAATTCCTCAAAAATTCCCAAGCAATTCCCCAACAATTCCTCAATAATTCCCCAATAATTCCCCAATAATTCCCCAATAATTGCCCAGCAATTCCCAAGCAATTCCCCAAAAATTCCCCAACAATTCCCCAACAATTCCTCAACAATTCCCCAATAATTCCCCAATAATTCCTCAACAATTCCTCAATAATTCCCCAATAATTCCTCAACAATTCCCCAGCATCTCCCGGGGGTCCCGAGCCCCCTGACCCACACTGTGTGGACACGAGGTGTCAGCACCTGCCCTGGGAGATTTGGAGATTCCAGGGTGGGATTGCTCCTGGTGCTGCACGTCCCCTGCCGAGCAGCAGGAGGAGGAGGAGGAGGAGGAGGGCTCGGAGGGGACGCGTGTCTGTCTGTCTGTCTGTCTGTGTGTAGCAACCCTGTGTGAGGGGAGGAGAACAACTCTGTGTGGCTTCCCTGCCAGTTTTTAGTCCGTGCTGTCTCACCTGAGATGTTCCTTGTCTGAATTCCCAATCGAGCAGCGTCCCCCAAACCAGGGGGGCTCCAGCTCTGGGGGATTTTCCCAGCAGGGCCAGGCAGGAACCCCTGCCCTGATGTGGGGGCAGAGCTCCCTTGGCCTCCCTGCTGGGCACACCTGGTCCAGATCCATGTCCAAGCGTTGTCACTTTGATTTCTCTGTAATTTATTTATGTGGAACTCTGTTTCTCTGAATTTTTTGCACTACATGGGGCTGGGGAGGGGATCCAAGCAATAGAAGCCAACGTGTACAATAAATAAAGACGTTTTCTTGGATACTGGATCCTGCCTCCTGCATCCTTTCCCTGGCTGCTCCCTGCTTCCCAGGGGGGGTTTGGGACCCCCAGACAGAGGATGCACTGCTCTGCATCTGCCTGAGCAGCCAGGGGAGTCCAGGTTGTGCCAGGGGAGGGTTTGGGATGGAGATCAGGGAAAGGATTTCCCCCAAAGGGTGGTGGGCACTGCTGGGCTCCCCAGGAAAGGGGTCCAAGAGATCCAGGAGGATTTGGACAACGCTCCCAGGGACAGGGTGGGGTTCCTGGGGGGGCGGGTCTGGGCAGGGCCTGGGGTTGGACTCGGATTTAGTGGGATGTGATGCCTTGGGATGTGATTCTGTGAGATCTGGGGGTCCCTGCTCCAGGGGTTTGCTCAGAGCTCCCACCCAGAGCCCAGCTGGGACTGGCCCTGCTGCTGGGGGTGTTGGTACAAGAGGCCAGAGGGGCCCAGACCAGTTTGGAGGGCTCTGCTGTGGCACAGCCGAGTTAAAATGAAGTTTTTTTTATACCCAGTCCCAGCCCCAGGCTCAGCTGAAGGTGTTGGGGGCCTGGGTGGGTGTGGGGGGTTTTGTATTCCCAGTGGGAATTCGGTGCTGGGAGCGTCCCCACTGTGTCACCCTGCCCTTATCCCAGGACAAAGTTGCTGCTGGTGCTGGAAACCTCTGGGAAAAGCCCCAGAGGCTCCAGGGCCAGGCTCATTTACACCTCTCCTGCCATAAAACCCCAGTTCAGCCTCCCCAGAGCTCCCAGTGCTGCTGGGAGCTTTCCTGCAGCGGGGAGGAGAAGCAGAGGAGGAACCTCGTGCTGCCCTTTGAAACTTTCCAACTTCCTGATGCGAATTCTCTCTATTTTTTGATCCAGATTTTTCTGTTCGCTTCTCCCACCCTCAGCCCGTCCCTGTGTGCCCAGGGAGGGAATTCTGAGCCCTTTCCATGGAGCAGGGAATGAAGGAGCAGCAGGAGCAGCCTGGCACCAGCCCTGGGGCCCGAGGGGGAGCAGGAATTCCTGGCCTGGCTGCAGCCCCTCGTGTCCCCTTTCCTGCTGCTCCTGCTCCTGCTTTGGCTCCTATAAATAACTGCTGAGCTCTAAAAACCTCCCTGGAGTTCTGCTTCCCTCCAGTTCAGGCTCTCCTGGAAGCAGAACCATGTGCCAGACCCGTCCTCAGCCACCGGTGCCACCTGGCCCTGCCAGCCCTGGTGGTGTCACTGCTGTCCCAGTGAGCAAACAGGGACAAGGACCTGTGACAGCAGCAGCTGCTGAGCCCCTGCTCCGAGCTGGGAGATTTCATTTAGGAGCAGCAGGCTTGTGGTCACAGCCTGAGCACGTTAGCCACGGCTCCCAGCAGGAATTAAATCACATTTTTCCTGCTCAAAGCACAGCTGGGGCTGTTGGCTGCAGTGGCTGAGCTCGGCCAGGAGGTGCTGGGCTGCTGCTTTGTTGGGCCATGAAAATCAGGGAATTTGTGGTGGGGGCTCTGTGCTTTGCTGGGCCAGGAAGGGTTAATGGATTCTGGGCTGAAAGGGGAGGGGGATAAAGGAGCCAGAGATGGGGAGAAATTTTATGGCACATCCAGTTCTCAGCTGCTCTCTCCTGGCGAGGGTGGCCTGACCGTGCAATCCCTTTTTTTGGGGAATATTTTGTTGCACTGACGGGAACAGCCCAGCACAGCCTGTGTGACCATCAGCCCCAGCCTGATTCCAGCAGATTCTCCAGGAAAACCTCTCAGAGCCCTCCTAAAATAACGTGGAGATGTTTAACACACCCTTCACGGTGCTTCTTGTGTTATTTATATTCAATAAATCTGAATTTATTTTTTTCAAACGGGCCATCAACTCTATTAGTTTGACAAGACCTGATTCCCACAGCCCCGTGTTGATTTGTATTAATTAACTTCTCCTCCTGTAATTCTCAAAGTTAATCCAACTCCCTCACAGCTGTTACATCATTTTCCCAGGAATTGCTGTCAACTGGCAACCCCATAATTACCAGGGTGGTTTTTTTTACCCATGGAAACACTGATATCCCTGTTAAATTATGCAATTTCTTTGCAAATTCCGTGGTGCTGCAAGACTGAACTGCAGCAGCCACCCAAGCCCTTTGTGTTCAGCCCTTTCAAACTTTCTGAACGTGAATTCTCCCGATTTTTTTGACCCAGAGCATTCAAGTTTTGTGCTTACTTCTTCCACCCGAAAAATGAAAAGGGTTTCTCGTTTCCTATGGCTGTAATTCCTGGGGGTTTTTATTCAGCACAGAAATACTGAGTCTGCATTTACCTTTTGTCATGAACTTCTCATTTTTATTGTTTATATTTCCATGCAGTGAGGCATGGTCACAGCACGGTCAGAAATCTTCCATTTGCTTCCTTTAAAAGCGTTATTTCTACAAATACTCTTTTTTTTTTGCTGCTCATGCACATCTCCTTTGCTTCTTTCCATCCATTATCCATCATCCCTAGATTTTGATTAGTGTCCCCTGTCTGATACTTTTATCCTGCTGCCCATTGATTTTAGAGAGGGGATCCCTGGGGGAATTTGGGGTAAAAGAGAGGGGATCCCATGGGGAGTTTGGGATAAAATATTTCAATTTTGTATCTTTAACCCCTCCGGGAACGGGGGCAGCCTTTGGAACTCTTGGACCGCAGCAACCCCAGAGATTTTTGTTAATGCTTAAACAGCAACCGCCGACTTTATCTCGCTCCATCCTTATCTCCGCGCTCTCGGCGGCCGAATTCCATTCGGGAAAACGCTCCGGGATGGATTTCCCGGCGGCTGCGGCTCCGTGCCCCCGGGGACTCGGGAAGATTCGGGAATACCGGTGGTGAATCGGGAATACCCCGGGGGTTCGGAAATGCCCCGGGGGTTCGGAAATGCCCCCGGTGGCTCAGGAAGATTCGGGAATACCGGTGGTGAATCGGGAATGCCCCAGGGGCTCGGGAATGCCCCAGGGGCTCGGGAATGCCCCGGGGGCTCGGGAATGCCCCGGGGGTTCGGAAATGCCAGCTGTGGATCGGGAAGGCTCGGGAATATCGGTGGTGAATCGGGAATGCCCCGGTGGCTCGGGAATACCGGCCGTGGCTCGGGAATGCCGGTGGTGAATGGGGAAGGCTCGGGAATGCCCCGGGGATCGGGAATACCTCCCGTGTTCGGGAATACCCCGGTGTCTCAGGAACACCGGCTCGCTCTGCGCTTCCCAGGCTCCGTTCCCTGGGAACAGGTACCGGGCTCGCCCCTCCCAGCCCGCGGGGCGGGAGCGAGGGGCAGGATCGGGCTTTGGGCTCTGCCCACACCCACTCGAGTCCCGGCGAGAGGAGGAGAGGAGCGGCCGGCAGAGATCCCGGGGAGATCCCGGAGAGATCTGACAGCGATTCCAGAGAGATCCCAGAGAGATCCCAGAGAGATCCCAGCGATCCCGCAGTGATCCCGGCATGGGGAACATCGCCTGCGTCCCGCAGGCTCCCGGCGGCTTCAGGAGCTCCTTCCGAAGGAAACCCTCGCTGAAGAAGTGAGTACCCCAAATTCCCCGAGCTCCCCAAGTTCCCCGAGCTCCCCAAATTCCCCGAGCTCCCCAAATTCCCAAAGTTCCCCAAGTTCCCCGAGCACCCCGAGTTCCCCCCTCCGGCTCTGGGATGTGGGAGCAGGGCTGGGTTTCCTGCGGGATCTCTCCCTGGATAGGGGATTTCTCATTTCCCGGTGGTTTTTGGGGTGCAGACCCCTGGATCCCGAGTGCCTGGGATGGAATTCTCAGCCGGCAGCCCTCGGGACAAGCGGTACTGAGTTAATTTTTGTTTGGGTAATTCAGCTCCCCTCGGCGGGACAAGGTGCAGAACATCTGATATTCCCAGATTTCACTTGGGATTGGTTTTTATTCCGAGTTGTGGTGGAAACAACATTCCCACTCCTCAGGCTTTAGGGAGAAAACCCCAAATCCCAGCACCCCGCTGTAGGATTTATGTTTGTAAACCCCAAAAGAGGTGCAGCAGAAAATATCCTTTAGTGAAATCCTTTGGGGATTTGGGGCTGGGCTCGTCAGGGCAGTGCTCAGGTCCCAAAATTGAGCTTCCAGGGAATTCACTGCAGCTTCCCAGCTTTCCCAATGCTCCCATCAGAGCTGGGAAAGAGCTCTGGAGGGAACCAGGTGATTCCTCATGAACCTGCCAGGCCTGTCTGTGTTGGGTTCAGAGTCAGGGCTGTGCCAAAAAAAACCCTAAACTCTGCCAGGCTGGGGGAGTTCTGATTAAAAGGAGACCCTGAGCTGTCCCCTTGGTGTTCTGTGCTGCCAGAAATGAGGGGAAAACCTGTAGGAACCTGAGGAATTTCTGTGGGGTAAAAGAGAGGGGATCCCTCGGGGAATTTGGGGTAAAAGAGAGGGGATTGCTCAGCGAATTTGGGGTAAAAGAGAGGGGATTGCTCAGCGAATTTGGGGTAAAAGAGAGGGGATTCCTCTGGGAATTTGGGGTAAAACAATGGGGGATTGCTCTGGGAATTTGGGGTAAAAGAGAGGGGATCCCTGGGGGTGTTTGGGGTAAAAGAGAGGGGATTTCTCAGGGAATTTGGGCTCTGGGGTCTCACATCTGGGCCCTGTGGTGGAGCAGCCAAGCCCCAGAGCTGCTCCTGTCCCGCTGACTCCCAGCTCCCCACGCTCGTGGGGATTATCCTGGTTTTCTGAGGAAGGAACTGCTGGGAAGTTCCCAGCCCTTCCCAGCAGCACCATTGGCTTCCTGGGACTGGTGTGCAGGCAGGGAGAAACTGGGAGTGGAAGGAAAGGGAGAGGGAAGTCACCAAGGCAGGAATGAGCCCCCTCTGGGAAGATCTGCCCCACTGCAGGGGCTGTGCCAGGGCTGGGTTTGTGTTCTGCCATGGAACCTGCGGGCCCTGTGCTGATTTGGGGACACAGATGAGCCAAGCTGCTGAGCAAAGAGCTGTAAAAAAAAGCAGAGAAACCCCAATAAACGCAGCAAAATCCTGTTCTGGTTCTCCCAGGCTTTGTCTGGCTGGGATGACTCGAAAGCCCGTGACAAATTGCTTGCTTGGTGTCCTGGCTTCCTTATTTCTGGGAAAAGGGAAATCATGCCTCAGCCTGGATCTGTGTTTCCGTGTTTATTTTGTTTTGGTTTGGTTTTTTTTTCCGTCCCTCTGTAGACAAAATGGCAAGAAAAAGCTGCCCAGCTTTTTTGGGATAGATGGAGGCCAGGAGAGAGACACGACCACGGACAAAATCCTGCAGTATATTCCAGCAAAGGCAAGTTCCAGCAGCTCCAGCCCCCTCCCCACTGCTCCAGGGATTTATTTCCACCCGCCCCAAGCACAGCCCTGGGGAGGGACGCTGGGTTTGGGTCTGGGGGCAGCAGCAGCAGCTCCATCCCAAGGGGATCCCAGGAAGGGATGAGCCCTTCCCAGCAGCTCCCTGACCTGCCCAGGGACCCCAGGGAGGTGTGGAGGGGACTTGGGGTGGTGCTGGGAGCCCAGCAGGGACATGGGGACATACAGGCATGGGGACCGACATGGGGATGTGGGGATATGGAGATTTAAGACATGGGGACAGGGGGATATGGAGACATGGGGACATGGGGACAATCCCTTCTCCCCAACCCTTTGCTCTCGGTTCTTTTGTTTCTGGGTCGCCTGTGAGGAAAGGGAAAATCCAGGCGAGCTTTGGCAGGTGGGATGATTCATTCCCACGCCAGAATGAGACGGAGCAGGGCTGGATCAGCCTGGGAAAGGGAATCAGGAAGGGCAGGGCTGCCCCAGGCACGGCCCAGCCTCGTGGCCACATGGCCCCATTCCCATTCCCAGCACTGCTCAGGGGGAGCAGAGGGGAGCCAGGAGCCCCCCAGGGTCCTGCTGGGTGGGCCAGGGGTGTGGGTGGGATTTTGGGAGGCTTTGGGCTCTGCTGGGTGTTCATCAATCCCTGCCCTGTGCGTGTGGGGAAGGGGAAACTGAGGCACGGCCCCAGTGCCAGGCAGAGGGAATTGCAGGGAAAGCTCCCTGTGGGAATCAGCTGGATCCAAAGGGACCAGGCAGCAAAAAAACAGGTCCCAGATGGATCCTGGATATTCCCTGGGGAAGCACGATGGGCTGTCAGTGGATCCTGGGGAAGGAATCACTGGGAGATCTTCACCAGGGAGTGCAGGGTCTCTCCAGAGGAAGGAGGGTGGGACAGGATTTTATCCTTTACCCTCACCCGGGGCACAGGGGATGCAAACTCCACCAGCTCCCTGTGTGGCCTGGAGGATTCCTGGCCTTTTCCCCTCTCTCCCTGCTGTGTTTTTGGCAGCAGCAGCAGCAGCAGGGCCGGCTCAGAGCTGAGCTGCCAGCACAGGGCAACCTCCCAGGAGATGGCATCGCCCAACCAGGCGACCTGGGAGCGGGGCAGGTGCCATCCCTGCACCCTCTGGCACCCCCAGCACCCCCTGCCCTCATTCCCAGAGCTTCCAGGGACAGCCAGAGCCTCTCATTTGGGGTTTTTCCCATGAAACAGCAGCTCTGGGAGCCCCGGGGCAGGAGCTGAGCTCTTCCTGCTGCTGATTCACTGCAGGGGCTGAGCAGTTCAGAGGGGAGGAACTCGTTCTACCTGTACGATGGGAACGTGTCAGGGCACCTGCACCTCCCAGAGCCCCGGGAACCAGGGCTCCAAGGATGGGCAGTGCCTGGAAGGCAGCGCTGGGATAACGGGAATGGGCTGGGGAGGATTCCAGAGGGAGGCAAAAAAAAAACCTCCAGAGCCCTTCAGCTTTGGTTGAGGCATTGCCATGGTTTGGGAGCTGGAAGGGCAGCAGGTTTCAGGGATGTGATCCCGTTTTTCCGTGGCCTTGGAGCTGCTCCTGTGCTCCATCTCCTCAGTCTCACTTCCACCCCTCCAAGCTTGCTTGGGAGAGGGAAATATTCCATTTTTTCCTTGCCACACCACTGGAAGCTCTCCCTCTCCCTCCTCTGGAAGCTTTTCCCCTCACTCCTGCTGCATTCCCAGCTCCTACATTGCTTTTTCCTCTCGATGCCTCGTTCATTCCTGGGAATTTTGGCTGCCACGTCCCCGGCAGCAGCAGCTGCTGCTGCTGTTCCTTATCTCCGTGCCCACGATTTTATCACCTCGCCCTCTCCCCACTCCCAGGTGCTGCTGGTGCCTTATCCGAGCTGTGTTTTGTTATTGCTGTACCCGTGACCAGCTGCTCTTTGCTCTGCTTTTGTGACACAAATACCATTTTCCCTACGCTGAGCGAGAGCTTTACCGGGCACCCAGTGTGTTCCCTGAACTCTGCTCCATGGCTGCAGGGAGGATTTCGGCAGGAAAGGGTTAACTCGTGTGCTAAAAACAGCGACCCAAATTCAGGGAGGCCCTGGAGGGAGCCCTGTGCTCTGCAGGTGAAAGGGTCCTGATGGCTTTTGGCTCCTGTTCCTGGTTCTCCAGGATGGGAGCCCCGTTCCCATCTCCATTCCCAGTTCCCCAGCTCCATTCCCATCTCTATTCCCAGTTTCCCAACCCCATTCCCAGTTCCATTCCCATCTCCATTCCCAATTCCCCAGCTCCCTTCCCAGCCCCATTCCCAGCTCCATTCCCAGTTCCCCATCATCTCCATTCCCAGTTTCCTAGCTCCAATCCCGGTTCCATCCCCAGCTCCATTCCCAGTTTCCCGGCTCCATTCCCAGTTCCCCAGCTCCATTCCCAGCTCCATTCCCTCTCCCCTCGATGTCCCAGCAGGGCTGATCCCATCCATACCACAGGGCTGAGTCACCGAGGGGCCCCGCAGGTCGGGTCGGGGTGTCCGTAATGGTCCCTGTCCCTTCCCTATCCCTATCCCTGTCCCTGTCCCATCCCTGTCCCCATCCCCATGTCCCCATCCCCATGTCCCTATCCTGTCCCTGTCCCCATCCCCATGTCCCTATCCCTGTCCCTGTCCTGTCCCTGTCCCCATCCCCATGTCCCTATCCCTGTCTCTGTCCTGTCCCTGTCGCTGTCGCTGTCCCATCCATCACGGGCACCCGCAGCTGTCCCTGGCACGGCACAGCAGGAATGAGATCGGGATCGGGCACATGCCAGGAGTGGGGACGTGCTGGGAATGTCACCAACCCTGCTGAGCCCCAGGGAGCCACCCCAGAGCTCCCCTCGCCCAGCCGGGATGAATTCCCCGGGTGTGGATGAGCCCGGAGCTAAGCTCGGCTTTAAGGTGTGGAGCTCAGGGGATCCGTGCTCAGCCCTTCCCTTCTCCCCAAGGACACCAGGCAGCCCCCAGGGATCCATGAATCCCAGAAAAACTGCGGGAAGAGCTTCATCCCCCAGGGTGGGGAGAAGTGAGGGGTGTGGGGCTGTGCTCAGAAGGAAGAATTCCCATCAAAGCAGGAAATCAGGGAATCCCCCAGCCCCGAGCGCTGCCTCCTCTCCTCAGCCCCGGCTCTCCTGGACCCCTGAGCTTTTCCAGGCTTTTTGCAGGGACAAAATCCTGCCTTGCAGCTGCTTTTGTGGCTGCCCCAAAACTGTCCTGGCCCCTGGAGAAACCGAGGGATGCGATCCCAGGTGGGAGAGCTGAGGGATCCAGGTGGAATGGGAGCAGAGGAAACCTTTCCACTCGTCCCAGGCACACTCAGGGTGCTCTGGCATGGTTTGTCTGTGGAGCTGGGACACCCTCAAAGTGAAATGTGCCTCTGTCCCCCTTTCCCAGCCCAGAAGCCCCAGCTTTAGGTCAGGATCTGTCTCAGGCTCCCAGCAGTAACCCAGCCCTGGCCCCACGTTGGCAAGGAGACCCGACAACAAACAGCCCCTCCTGGGCACCTGCCCAGGGCTCCTTTCAGGAATCCCTGCTGGGAAGATGTCCTGGGAATGTCTCTGATCTCTTCTCCCTCTCTATCCTCGGTGCAGATTGCTCAGAAGCAGGAAAACCAGAAGGAAAACTTGGAGCAGAGGTTCCCCAGCCTGTTCAAGAAAGGCCGGAGGAAAATGATTGTCAGGGATTTGGGCAAGATGATTTATTACTCCAAGGTCAAGTTTAAGTTCCAGCACTGCCAGGTAAACCTGAGGCTCCTCTTTGGGGGGGTTCCTCTGCCCCAGGGATGGTGTGCAGGACTGGGAAGGGAGGGGTAATTCTGGAAAATGGGATCAGAGAGAATTCCCTGGGCTGCCACATCCCTGTGGACACCTGGGAAAGGCTTCCATGAGCACAGAGTGGCCCTGGGAGAAGCTTTTCCATGCAGGGATCAGCCCGGGATGCAGAGGGAGGCTGGGAGGTGTCCTGAGGTAACCCCAAAGGTGTCCTGAGATAACCCCAAAGGTGTCCTGACATAACCCCAAAGGTGTCCTGACATAACCCAAAGCTCTCCCTTCTGCAGGAGGTCAACAGCTGCTTCCTGGAGCTCTTCCAGTCCCACCTGTACTTCCAGTCCACGGGTCCCGATGGCCTCACCTACCAGGTATGGCATCACCTGGGTGTGCAGCCCTTTGGGCACGGGGGGCACCGGGCAGGCAGACCCCAGGAGATGTCCCCAAGTCCCTTCCCTGGGAATGCCAAACTCCAAAAGGATGTTTTGTCCCTAAGGCTGTCCCCAGAGCAGGTCAGGAACCCGATAAAGGGATAAAAGGATAAAGGGACAGGCAGGTGGGAGCTGCTCAGGTGTCCTGGAGCTGCTGAGCACCAAGCACAGGGAGCTGAGCCTTGGGAAAAAAAAATCCCCAAATCCCCCTGGCCTTGGTGCTCGTGGGGGGTCTTGGCTTCTGGGCCAAGGGGGAGTTCTCCATCTGCAGAATCCAATTTTAATTATTCTGTGGAAGAGAAACCTGAGCCTCGGGGAGCTCTGCTGGCAAACCACTCATGAATCTTTTAACCTGGCGGTGCTGGGGAGTTGCAAATAATGAATGAGCTGTTCTGCACCACAGCCAAACAGGCAGAGCTGTAAAACAACAGCCCCTGAGTGTTCCCTTCCTCCACACGAGTGAGGAAATAAAGCTGAGCGTGTTTGGGAGATGATTGTAAAATTAGTTCCTCTTAGAAATGATTAATTAGCCTTTAGGTGAGTTGGGGTTGATGTAAAACATCAGTAAAACCTCTCCAGTCACCCCCGAGGCAGCCTTGAAGTGAAAATTCCCACGTCAGGAGACAAACAACATCTCAACCTCTCGCGACTCCTTTAGAAACAGCTCCGGAGTTTATTAATTGGGGAGGAATTAACAAGGAATTAATGTGCCCCAAGGCATTAGGGCCATTAGCATCTTTTATGGGGGTTGTTTGGGGAGCCCAGAAGAGGGAGGACAAAGTTGTCACCTTTGTCAGAGTGGGAATCTGAACATCCCGAGTCTGGGAACTGGGCAGCTCCGTTTTCCTTTGGGGTCAATCCCAATTTTTGGCTTTCTCCTGTTAAACCACCGTTGGTTCTGCTGAGGTTTCTCTAAAAATGGAAAGAAAAAAAAATAAAAAAACCAACAAAAAATACCAAGCAGGGAATATAAATATATAAATATAAAGATATTCCTCAGCATGGCAGGGGCTTGGTGCAGGATGGAGCCCAAAATAACCAGAATAACCAAAATTAACCCCTTGCTGTCCTTCCCCAGGGGCTGCTGCCTCTGAAGGAGCTGGAGGTGCATGAGCTGGGGGCTGGGCAGAGCCCAGGGCAGCAGCACCACGCTTTCCACATCTCAGGTGGGTGTGTGGGGGCTGCAGGGCCCGGGGAGGGGGTGGCTGGACCCCAGCCTGGGGTGCTGAGGGGTTCAGGGAACACCTGGGCACCCCTTTGGAGGGGTTTGGGTGGGAACAAAACTGCTGCCACCCTGGCAAGGGGCTCCAGCATTCCCCTGGGAGTGTCCCCAAGGAAAGGGGAAGGACAGACAGGGGAAGGACAGACGGACAGAGGAAGGGTTGGCTGGGGCACAGAGACGTGGCCCTGGGGCCCAGGGCAATGGCAGGGGCTGAATTCACAGCTCAGACTTCTCCCAGGCGTGTCCCGGGCGTTCCTTTCCTCGTTTTCTCCTCCTGCTTGGCCCTGCCGGGATGTGGCAATGGGTGATGCCCTCGGGGTGTGAGGGTCTGCACGGGTTTAATTAGCTGGGTTTAATTAGCATTTATAATTGGCGTGAGGAGCCGAGCAGCATCGCTGCCCTGGCTGCTCGTCAAGGGCAGGGAAACCAAGGGAGGAGGAAACGGCAGAAGCCGGAGGTGCAGGCACGTGGATGGGCAGGAAAATTCCCGACACCAAATTGCTGTCATGGGTTTGGAGTCACTCGGGGGAGCCTCTGCCCCTGCTCCCCACCTGAGCTTTGTTTACCCTGCATTTCCTGCACGGCAGACACGCTTCAAAGGCTCCGGGAAACCTTGTTTATAAATAATGCAGGAATTAGGGCACTAAAGATATCACGGGAGGGCAAAGTCCCACGGGTTTATCCGGGCTTATCTGGGCACTTCCAAGTCCCACAGAGGCAGATCCTTGTGAGCCTGCAGGGTTTCATCTGGGCCGAGTGGTAAATGATTAATCACAACATCCCTTCTGCATCCTGCCTGGAGTGGTGATTGCCCCGGCCAGGAGTGGGGAGCAGAGGGTGTGGGAGGCTGTGCCCGTGCCCTGAGATCAGAGAGAGCTGGAAATCCTAAAATCCACCAGCAGCAGGGCTGTCCCTCCCTCTCGGGGGGTGCCTGGAGCCATCCCCGGCTTGGCTGGCACTGGTGAGGCAATAAATAAATAAACAAAGTGTGTCAGAAAGCTGCTGGTGCTCCACATAGAGAGAGCCAAGGTGAAACTGGGAGATAAGGTGGGGATTTCTGCTGAGGGAGCAGCACCTGGGGACGGTCCCTGCCCACAGAGAGCCACGAACTGCAAGGGATGGGGGTGGTTTGGAAGATGGAATCCAGCTCTGGAGGTCCGGCTTGGCTTTTGGGCTGACTTTGGGATTTGTTTTTAGCTCGGGTTTGGGGTCACAAAGTGTCTGGGAGGGGCTGAGAAGGGGCTGGGGCAGTCTCAGAAGGGTGATGGGACAAAAGGGTGACAGGAAGGGCTGGAGGGTGGTGGCAGCAGGGCAGGGGTGTCCCCAGCACCCTTTGGAGGGAAGTGCAGAGCGTGGCAGCTCTGCCATGGCTAAAGGGTGACAGGAAGGGCAGGAGGGGGGTGACAGCAGGGCAGGGGTGTCCCCACACCCCCAGTGAGGATGTGCAGAGCGTGGCAGCTCTGTCATGGCTAAAGGTCAGCAGGGAGGGCTGGAACGAGGTGACAGGAAGGGCTGGAAGGGGGTGGCAGAAAGGGCTGGAAGGGGGTGGCAGGAAAAGCTGCAGGGAGGTGACACTTTGAGCTTTGGTGTCCCCACACCCTGTGAGTGCCCTGCAGCTCTGCTGGCAGGTTCCCGATGGATTCTGCAATCCCTGCTCCTCTCCCACCCCCAGGGCCTCTGCTGAACCCCCTGGTCGTGTTCTGCCCCTCGGAGGCCGAGCTCAAGCTGTGGCTTTACCACCTGGAGAAGCAGATCCAGCTCTGTGGAAGGAGCCTGGCCCTGCCCCTGCTGTCCCAGGTGGGTGTCCCTGGCCGTGTCCCACTGCTGGCACACTGGGATGGGTGGATTCCCTTCGGGAAAGGCTTTCCTGGGAAATAAAGGGTGCAGAAGGAGCTCGCAAGAGGGCTCTGAGAGCAAGGGGGGATGTGCTGGAAGGAAGAGCTGCCACCCACGGGTGCCACCAGCAGCACAAGCTCCGTGGGGTCAGAGCTTGGCTCGGAGCAGCTCTCACGCTTTTGGGTGCTTGTGCAACCACCCAGAGCTTGCAAAACATCACGAGGAGGAGGAGGAGGAGGCTGAAGCCTAAAAAACAGGCCCAGATTCAAGAGATTGTCTCTGCCTCAGTCTCTCTCTGGGGGTGTTTTAATTCCCTCCCCACTTGTCAAACAGAAATGTCTCCCTTGGAAAGGCATTTCCAGGTGATGGAGGATGGTTATCCATTCCCAGCTGGAAAATTGCCTCCTGCCCAGATTTATTCATTCTTTCCTGCTCCTGCCACACCACAAAAGTGTCCCCAGGTGGGGGCAGGGGAGGCTGGGTGTGCCCATGGGCAGTGTGGTCACTCTGGTCACTGTGGCCAGTGGTCCTGTGGTCCCTGTGGTCCCTGTGGTCCCTGTGGTCACTCTGGTCACTGTGGTGTGGTCAGGGTGGTCACTCTGGTCCCTGTGGTCACTGTGGTCAGGGTGGTCACTGTGGTCAGTGGTCACTCTGGTCACTGTGGTGTGGTCAGGGTGGTCACTGTGGTCACTGTGGTCACTGTGGTCACTGTGGTCACTGTGGTCACTCCGGTCACTGTGGTGTGGTCAGTGGTCACTCTGGTCACTGTGGGCTGTCCCCAGAGCGCCGGTGCCAAGGACGAGCTGCGCTGGTCCGTGCAGAACCTGCCCGTGCAGGACTGGAGAGGGACCCAGCGGGAATCCCTGGGAGAAGTCCTCTGTGTGTCCAAGGTGAAGCTCCAGCACCTGCCCTTCCAGGTGAGACACGGCTCTGGGGAGGGATGGGGGAAGGATCCATGG